GGGGAATCATAATATTTTGAGCCAAGAAACCACGCGGAAGGCGGGAAAGATGACAATTCAGTTGGAATCCACAAAAGAAGACAGAAAAACATGAAGTCAGGGGGAAAGAGGGGAACCTAGGGAACGTAACCTTTGCCCCGGACTCGGGGGGTTGAGAGGTTTAGGCTTACTTTTCTTTGGCAGCGGGTTCAGTGAACTTAATTCTCTAGTATACCGGCTAGTCTGGTGGTAGCATCGGATTACCGGTCACTGGCTTTTTAGCAGCGGTTAGCAGACGCAAGGTGAAGCTGCTCCTAGGCTAGCAGGCAAGGGCGGATGAGAACTAAATTGCCTTATCTTTTCTTTCCCGATGCCCAAAGCAAGCTAGCTAGAAGCATAAACTCCTATTTAAGTAAGGCCGGCTGTAAACAAAGCAAACAAAAGATTCGTGGTTGTACCAATCCCATCGGTCGTAGTTCATACTCTACCAGCTAACAGGAAGTAGAACGAGAACTCTTAAAGGCGCATCAGCGATATCAAGAAGGAAAGGAGCCCTTTAGCTTTTGGGGACATGTAAGACAGCCTAGCGGATCCTTTTTAATGTCCATCAAAGGGAAGACGATTTCCGACATTCACCCTCAAAAGGAGGCCGTCCATGCCTGTTGAAAGTTCCTTGCCTCTTGTGCCGTGCGTGAGCTGTGCCCGCTTTTCCCTCACAAAGCAAAGCATTTAACCGGCTTCCCTAAAGTCAAGTGAATTAATAGGCTAAACTCTCACATTTATTTCTTCCGGCTTAGCCGAACTACTTACCTCGGGTCAGGAGAGTCAGAACTGATAGCCATTTCCATTTTTCATGGCACTTCATACCTGCAACAGAGTCAAAGCTGCGGTAATGCCCATTCTTGCAAAAGAAGAACTCTCCCTTTCTGGGTCTGCTTTGCTAATGCACTGATAGCTATGATTCTTCGATCTCGAAAGTGAAAAGATCAGGATTGGATGCTTACTTCGCTTCCTTTCCTTCCTTGCCGCTGGCTTTCCAAAACAGCCTAACAGGATTGGTTGGATGCTTTTCCTTGCTCCATCTACCATTCCTGACAATCCATCCTATCTTTAGTAGTAGCCTAACCTAAGGCTCCATGATGAATCTTCTGCGCTAAGGCTAGCATCTCATCCCATCTATCATCTACTTAAAGTTGCTACGTAGGGAGAATGGCTAAGGAAGAAAAGACATCCATGCATGCCACCCATAGTAATCTGACGGATAACATCCATCAGCCATCTATGAACAGAGTTTAATAACCTCTGATTCAGCCAGTTTCCTATGGCAAATATTCGTCTCTTCCCCGCTCCTTCAACCGACTGACCCAGTCGTCCGAGGTAAGGACTCTGACAGGAGTAGGATCGTTGGGAATGACCTCCTTTTCAAATGAGGCCATATCCATTCGACTAAACAACTCGTTGTTTTCGTCGAAACAATACCTAACTCTTGGGTACCACAGTACACCTAATAATGAGGGTCTTTTACTTCCTTCTGTTACCTTTCGGTACCATGAATTAAGTTCAAAAGGCAAGGAACGTAGTAACTCGACAGTAAGGAGAGGACCGAAAAGTCCTCTTCGTACCTCTCCATTTGATTGACCTCACTGAAACCGGTTTAGCTAGTTTTATCAACACCCTGATGAGGTCCTTTATGTATGGACCCCAAAGGAGGGCACCCTCAGGTGTAAAACCTAAAGGAACTATCGGTTTACAAGACCGGTAGGCCAGGTTGGCTCTAGCATAAGGAGTCAACTCACAAAACATAAAGAAAGCTGCAGGACTCGCAGAGTAGAGATGCCTTAGAGGTATCCGTAATCGCTGCAGCGACTAGGACATTGGCTTAACAGGCCAAACGCCTTAGGGCAACAAAATAAAAAACCTTCCAGACAAGGCCGAACCGGACCAACTGAGAGTCGGTCGATTCAACCTGCCATTTCTGGTTCACGAATGGTGCGTCTAAGAGATCCTGGATGGTTACGCCTGGAGATACTGCAACCATGTAGTACCACTTGACGCAGTTAAGCCATTGTCGGACCCACGACCTTACCTTAAGGTTGTGTACTCCGCGAACTCGCGACTACCATCGGTGACGATAACCTCGTCAGGATAGAGGCACAAGTCCTTTGGAGCCATTTCCCTGCGGAAAAAATTTACAAAGATTCCTGACTCTAACAAGTAAGCAAGTAAACTACCTTTAGGAATTTTCATTCCATTCTTCGAAATCCCCTCCTCTTCTCTTCTCTTAAGGCAGTCGAGGGAAGCGGTTTATGGGGTGGGCTGCTAAGGCCCGGGGAGGGGGAGCAAAATCGGGTCAAACATCGATAGGGAGAAGGAGGTAAATGACTCTTCCTTTCCTCCCGATTGGCAATGATATATCTTTCTTCTGCCATTGCGAGACAAGACAGCTTCCTTCGTTCGGGCGATCTAACCAACTTAGGGAAGGTATGCCCTCTCAGCTTCTCCACTCGAACCATAACCTGAACTAGAAATGGAACTGGAACTTCAGCTGCCAAAGGAATGAAACAAATGCTCAACACATGCCTCCTATTGGAGAAGCTTCTTTCATTCATTTCCCTTACCAGCCGGGACATCTGCTCCTAAAATGGTAACTTAACTCTGCCCGCTCCGTTTGGTTCATCATGTGGACAATTCCTCCACAAAAAATATTATTGTCTGGAAATGCATGCTTTTATGGAGGGGTTATTTCCCTCGTCGCTTACCCGCATTTATCTTGGTATACCTACCAGTGTGCCTCCTAATTCCGTGAAGTCCTTGGAGCATGTGCTATTTTTTCAGGATCCTTGTCAAGAAAGAAGTCAGTCCCTTCTTATTTCTTTTATGTTAAATTACTCGAAGAGGGAGTCGATTCACGTACTTCACCATTTCCTGGGTCGTTATCGCCCCGGTTCGGTTCTTTCTCTATTAATAAAGTCCCGGTGTGTCATTGGTCTTTCGTTCGTAGTGGGCCTAATTAACCTAAATAGTCAAGTTAAAGGGGCCCGCATACATGTTAAAAAATCTAAGCGCGAGCGAGCCCTCGTATCCTTCTTATCTCTGTTCTCTGTGAGTAGCGGGCAGTTTTTGCTGTCAAAGTGCGGGTTTGTCAAGGGAAAGCTTTCTGAGCTGTTGATTTTCGACTTCCTTCCCTCGACAACTATTTTAATAATAGATCTTGACTACTGACCATGGGCGGGGTCGGTTAATTTTGTGATGTTTTCTCTCTGGCAACGAGTTAAATTTTTCCAAAGATGGAACTCGGCATACGCGTAGGAGCGAACAAGAAGAGTTGTCACAAGGAGCTTTTAGCGTCAACCACAAGAAGCTGTAAAGAGTAGCTTGAACCTTTCTGAGTTACATAGCTGACTGCGAGAAGGAAGGTAGGAGGCATCCCCCGGGCCTTACCGAGGAAAGAAATGCTGCTTGCTTTTTGGGGGATCTTCTGCCAGGATACAAGACGGCTGGCAATGACTTCATCGATTCCTTCCTCAGTCGCAGCAGTCACGGATTCATCTGTTGAGGCAGACCCTTTCATTCATCATCTCGCACCTTCCCTACCGGACCCGTTCCCGTACTCTCGGGCCTTCAAACTCGATTTCTGATCTATTTCTTTCTTCTTAGCTTAACTGGCTAAATGGATTTCATTGGCAGTTCGGTTCGATCTGTCGGATTCATATGTATTATGGGCTATTTGCCTTGGTTTAGGGGCCTGATTCAGAGCAAATCACTAATGTCGAAACTCTCGCGGCAAAGCCTCGTGGTTGGGACTTCTTTCAATTTACCGAGTTGAATAAGGATAAATAGCTTTTTAAGCCAGCTGAGGGGATAGAGCTTTCCAGTTACCTATATAAAGAAGTTTATTAAACAGCATTCTAGCAAGTTCACCTATTGTGAATAACGTAGGTCTCTACCGGCTATTACCACATTGGGGGCATCCCCTTCTATTGAATCAAAAGGATAATATTATTATACTTAGTGAATTCCTTATGCCCTGGGTCTTGGAATCAATACAAAGAATTGAGCCTCACTGACCACTCTTTCAGCTTAAGCACCTTCCTTTCGGGCATTGGAAATAGCCTTAGTTCCAGCGGATCCAGTCATTCGAATCGACTTGAGTTCTCACTAGGCTTGAGCATTCCATAAAGAAGGACGGACAGGTGAATGCTAAAATGCTTCTTCTTCGCTGCCTCACTTCTTTACAACAGGAGCAGCTTCCTAATCGACATCGGTCAGCACCTTGCCCCCTTCCATGACAGAACTAGAGAGCCGGTCTTTTTCCCGCCCTGAAAAGAGTCAAAGTTAAATAGGGAGGGATTTAGCAGCCGTTATGGTAGACTTGGATGAATCTCAATCCGAATGAGTGACCAGATCCCTATAAGAGGTGGATCCGTCTTTGCTAGATCCATCAGAAGCATGAGAGAATAACATGGGACTCTTGGGAACAAGAGGATGTGTGATACTTTATTTCTTTGCCGAACCAGGTACGTGGTCCTTCCCTGTTTGTTGGTCGACCCTAATCCTCCCATGAGCGCCATCTTTTCACCTCCTCTTCGATGCGCTCCCACGACTCGCTGTTGGGATTATTAAGGTCTCGCATTAAGTTGACTAGGAAGCTTACTTGTTGATTTTCTGCTAGATCTTCCACATCTTCGGCAATGTAGTTTGCCGCATCTTCCACCGCCTCGCAGCGTCCTGGGGTTAATCCCCTTTCCTGAGCTATTTCCTTCGCTCGTTGGCCTATGGATTTTTTAATGTTTTCCACCTCTCACTCAGAACATAAGTTCTCGGGTTCAACCCCCGAGTTGGCAACAGTCGAACGCTAAGTCCCCGATATAGCTCAGTGAACTAGCCAAGGGTCAAAGTACAAAAGCAATCGACAATCGAAAACCACGATAGGAGCTTACCGGGCAAGAAAGGAAATGCTCCCATTTAGTCACCCACCTTCTATCGTGTCTTATTTCGATCATTCTTAACCTCACACCTCTATGGCAGAAAGCAGAAGCGCCGGGAAAGACAGCTGGCGGTATGTATAACAAGCAGTTCCGGGGCTCATACTAAGAGAGATAAGGGCCCACTACGAAGAAGATAGGTCCCTACCCTAGACACGTTGAAGGTCAAAGAGATTCCCGATATTGTATTATATTTATGTTTGACAGCATGGCACTAGTCAGAAGAAGATCGACGAACTCTGCGATACCATATTGGAACCATAGAGATGCCCCGTACTCTCCTCGGGGAAGCCCTTTTGAAGCTGAGAGGGAATAACACTTATAAGATATTGCCAGCTAGTTTCAGTGGAATGAACCCGGAATCTTTCTGAAAGGTCACTGATGGCCTTTCAAAGGATAACTGTATAGCTGCGCACTTGTTTGCGAAACAGGTACGTCAATTATACCGTAAGTCCGGTCCTTTATCTACTGCACTTTATTTAAAGCAGTGTGGCGTTTGCCTTCAACAGGTTTACGCCGGGCCGCCTTACGAGCATGAGAGACTACCAGTTTTCGTCTCCCTCAGTCGGAATGGTCTACCTAGGATCATTCCTTCATTTCACCGTAAGGTGATAATTAGGAAGGATGATAAGGCGGACACATTAGTTCAGTTATATCTATCCTTCTTTTATTCACTTTGTCACGGGTCATACCGTTGGCAAAGCGATTAAGTGTGAGAATACTTGATTCTATTGTGACCCCTCCCAAGTTTCTGCAGACTGAAAGAGCATTTGATATGATGAAAATCTGACAATTTTTCAATCTGATCTCAGACTCTTGGCGAGTTCTGCTTCTTCTTCTTCCCTCGGATTCGGCATAGCCTTCTTCAGATTATTCATCCTTGTCTTCGTCTCTGTCTACCAGATCGGATCCAATCAAAGCTGTTCGTCCCCCTTCTCGACGTTCCCGGAGGGTGGCTCTTCACTTGGTGTTCACTATTCTAAGGTCTTGGCACTAACAATGGCACAGACTTTCACTTCGACTTAGTTAGTCCTCAGCTCGTGAATCTGGCTATCTAAATATATCCGGATTCCTTTCTGATGCGCCTTATGTTTCCAAAAGGTAAGACTTTCCCCTTCCTTTCTAGGTACGTGGGTGTTAGCCTGCCGGATATAACTCAATCGATGCGGTTCGTCCCCTTCCTCCAGCCCCCCTTCCAGCGCTTCTGGATGACCCTTCGTACCCGTATTCAGAATTCTACCTCCGCGGATCTCCCCTCCTTCTCCGAAAGCTTTACGAATCAGACAGGGCAATTCCTTACTTTAACTTCATAATCTGGTACTTCACCTGGGGTTAGGCTTTTCAACTGGGCCAAGGGGAGAATGAAAACTTTCACTTCGGAAGGAGGAATGGCAAGTAGAGTTCCCACTGCAGCAGTTTCCGAATCAGGGATGTTAAATTACTTTTGTCTCAGAATTAGACCCATTTGTTACCCTTTTTGGAATAGTTGGGGCAGAAATGTAATAAATAATAGGCTGCTCGATCTGCTGTTCCGGCAAGCAGCCCTTTCGCTCGTTCCTTTGGGGCTTTTTGGGGGCCAACCTGTTCCATATGAGCAGCAGGAGCATAAGCCCCCCGTGTTCGCAAACTCTCATGTAAGGGACCTACTTTCCTTCACACTATACCTTCCGGAGTGCTTATGGAATATCCTGTTGAGTGGGTTTGATGCTAATAAAACAGGAAGGAGCCCAGCAGCTCCCCTTTTTCGGGATAAAGTAACGAAATATGGTAGGAATAGATCTATATATGTATAAAAAATAAGTGAAAACGAAAGAGTTGGTGTCGCACGTACTGATAACTCTATCCCGCGCTGAAAGCGAGAAGGACGGACGAAACTATGCTTCACCCACTTTAGTCTTTAGTGGTTGAACAGCTGAAAGCTAACTTCAACTTATCTTTCTGATTGACTGCTGTTTCCATGCTTGTTTTTGAGACCGGGGCTGCTATTCTTATATTTGATATTCGAGTTACCCTGTGCGCTAGTTGACTATCCAATATTGGCCGACCGACGGATGGGCTCCCTTAAGGGCGGAGCTCACCAACTGGGTGGCGTGGAAGGGGGATATTTAGCTATGTGCGGGTAGAGCTGCTCCTGCTCAGTTGCCACTGGATATCCACATTTATCCCCTAGAGCTGCTGTTCATTCCTCCCCCCATCGGTTGAGTGTTTTCATTCCCCCGGGCCTTATTGGAAAGTCGGGGCTTCCCCTCCTTTTTCCGAGTAAACTACCCTTGCCATAGCTACCCCCAGCCAAAAGGCCATAGATAGGCTTTTTGCCCTAAAGCTACGGTTAAGGCCCCGGCCAATTATGAATCTGAATAAAAAAACAGTTGAACTAGAGTTTTCCCCTACTTGTATGAGTGGGGCTCGCGCTATAAATTTAAGTAATTAATTGGCCAACCGCACCTAAGATGACTGAGAACAGGAACTACCCGATCAAAGAGTCTTCCTTCTGCGCCTGGGCCTTCCCTTAAGATGAGAACAAGAGGGGTGAGCTTCACCTGAAATCATTTCCTAGGATTGAGGTTGATTGGCTTGTTCAAGGCAAGGCTCGACGTAGTTGAGTTGTTATGGGGAATCTCCTATCTAAGATTGAGGCTAAGCTCCTGTTCTGGCTCGGTCTTTAACCCATTTAAGGTTAGCTTTGGTATTTAGCCATTGAGGAGAGAGGAGAGAGGGGTATATTAGAATTTTAGGTTTAGTGAGAATAGCTCTAGTCTGAGAGCTTCAGCGAAAAGTTAAGAGTATGGGCGGGCAAGTTTAGGCAAAACTCAATATCACATTAGGAAGTGCAGTAGTTAGCGGGCTCCTTTCACTTTTATGTTGATGGATAGGCGGACTTCACTCCCATTGATAGCATGGGATATGATCACAAGAGCTGATTCAATCGGGTTCACATCATCGGGTATGATCACTGCTAGCAATCCAGTTAGTTAGGTCTCTCTTATACAGTCTTAGAGAATATCTAATCTGATCAGATAACGGAATTCAATTAAACCCGTTGAACTGTTCTCTTAGAGAAGTTCATATTCATCTATCCCGCTGACTGGCTTATAGATTAGAGGTTGACTCAGGAGCTTCCTAGTATAATGTCTACTAGGATAGATTACTCATATAGCGCGTCTTCCTATAACGAGCTTAAAAAGATCCCAGGTTACTCCTAAAAACAAGGCTTAGGAGGGTTGCTGACTACTAAAGGGTAGCTTGCTTACGCACCAGGGATTTTAGGATTAGCTGGTGACTCTAGAAAGGGTTTAATAAATAGAGGCTGATTTGCTCGCAAAAGGGTACAACGCTGGTAGGCTATATAGGGATTTACGGATACAAAGGTTGGATAAGGTTAGCTTACTCCTCTCCTACTCTAGCATTTGGATACAGAGAACGACTATCCCGCTGGATCTTCTGTTGATGCTTAAAGGCTGGGCTATAGGCGGACTACATAACCTTACGAGTGATTAGCTTAAACTTGGGACTGATAGCCATACTCTAAAAGCTTGCACCAGGTCTCTCACTATACCCCGGGATTCTCTAGCTCTTGCACGCTGACTTTATCCTATGGTCTCTCTCGGGGAAAGGTAAGCTTTCTCTTATTGCACGCCTACCTTTCTTTGTAAGGGGTTTTGGGATGAGGATAATTAGTTTGTAATTAGCACTAAGGCAGTGGAAGCAGAATCCGTTGATGAATGCTTATATATAAAAAAATAAAGTAAAAACTAGGATAAGGTTTTGTAGAATAGGTAGGGCACGGCTCTTCTCTCAAATAATCCTATCATCTATGTCTTCGTCCGAGTGGATTTCCCATGGTATGAAAAGTCGGGAATATCTATATTTACATAAAAGAATTTGTGGACGGATGCCCTTGATCAGGAAGTCGAACATATGCCCGTATAGGTAAAATACAATACGTCCGTCGATCATACTAAAATACAGGACGGACTAGAAGGGACCTAAGCAGTCCTTGATTGGGAGATTTCATCCCTTCAATAGCAGCCCTTGTACTGATTTTAAGCTCTTCACTGGCGCCTTTGTATGTCTCAACTTGACCTCTGATTGCCGGTTATAGGCTTGGTTGTCGGGCCGGCAGTTCAAAAATGTTTCGGATACAGCCCCAACATGTCTTTCGTCTAATCGGGAGAAAAAAGGAAAAAGGCGTTATTGTTGTGCTTCCCTTCCCAGTCACCATTCCGACAGGGAATGAAGCGAGGTAGATCTAAGAAGCTTGAAACTAGGCAGCAAAATAAGGAAGAGTGGCTTACCGCAGGCTTTTCAAAACAAATACTTCAAGAGATATCGGCTAAACGAAAAAAAAGGGGATTTGTGCTTTCCTCTTAAAGTAGGGGTTGGACCAAGAAGATAGGTCACAAGTGGCCTTACTCTCTTTGTTTCGGAATGAGGATGGGAAGGCCTTCCACTCCAATAAATGATAGGACAGCTTTTGGTGCCCTACTCTCGCGGAACAGAAGGAAAGCCACAGAATAAAGTTTGCTACTAGAAAGGAAAGAAAGAGAGGGAGATAGAGAAGGGATCCTAACGCATTCCCATAGTGATATTCACCTAGAGACAAGACTATGTCACAAGATAAGACAATAAAATAATACAAAAAAGAAGATAGTTTGATAGATAGGAGAAAGAGAGGAGTCTAGAGCAACTACAGGAAACTATTAGACGTTACGCTCCTACCTATAGATAGGAGGAACTTCCCTGACTCTCTGTCTCTGCATCCTGACCGCTTCTTGCTTGCTATGGGACTAACGGGAGTGCCCGCATCTTGCTATGAACTAGAATCTCCTACTCACATTTTTAGATTCCTCCGTGCTTATCCCCTAATGTGTCGTCCTCCATGAATGTGGCACCTGTCTTGAAGAGGGTGATGAAAAACCATTAAATTAAGGCTCTCACCGGAGCCCAGGGGCAACACTTACATAAGCCACTGTCAACCACTGTAATAAGCGCAATGGGATACACGACAACGAGCGAATCTCTTTCCCACCCGAAGCTTTAACTGAACCTCTATACCCGACAGAGGAATGACAGCGGGAATGGACCTTAGCAACCCCCTTCTCCTTCCATTGCAAATACTTATATAGATGGAAATGGTTCCCTTCCTTGAGCAGGAATGCATGAGTTGTTAATCCGTATATGAGTCCCCTCACTTCCTCATGTAAGTCAATGTTTCCCCCTCTAGGAGGATAAATATCTTTCTCATAACTTCGCAAGCCTACCTGACATTCCCTTCTATCATTCGTTCCTGGATAGCTGTGGTGTTCCAAGAGACATATGGAAGATTTCGAAGCCTGCTCTGTGATGGGAGGTGAGGCTGTTCAAGGAAGTATCCTTGGGGAAGGCCGGGCAGTCAAGCGGGCTTCAGAGAGATTGAGATTCTATTCTTCGGGAAGGGAAGTTGTTACGAAAGGTTCTCAGTCTTTCGACTTCCTCATCCATATGAGGACCGGTTTTTTTTGTTCTGGCTTGTAGCTTGATAAAGGGCGGATGGAAGGATAGCTGGAAATTTAATTCCACTTAGAATTATAAGGAAAAAAGTCTCAGTATCTAATGAACCGAACGCTTCATCCGTGGAACAAAGTAACTGCTGGACCAATGTGTTTGTGCCAAATCAAAAGGCAATGACAATTGTCTCAGGAGCAATCCCTTTCAGTTCAAATTCCGAGCTTGTACAGGGTATATCCCACTTAAGGGAATGGGGGGCAAGAAAGAATAGATTAGAAGCCCCTTGAAGTTTCCTTTATCTATCCTTTATTTGTGAATCCCAAGTGGGAGTCAAATAGGAGAATATGAGAACACTTGAGAGTCTTTCTATTACTTCCTTGCTTACCTGGCTCACTTCGCAACAAAGATAAGTAGTTTATTTGCTTGCTTAGCTCGAAGATGCCAACTTCGTTCACTTACGTCTCTCGTTTACTTGTTAGCTAGCCCTATTCCTCACCTTTGCTTTGAGGGTATCTAAATAAATAGTGGTGTGCTCGTTAGAGGATGCTTTTTTAGTTAGCTAAGCGACTACCTTAGTTGAAGGTGGGAGAGCAGCAAAGTCTCTTATCTTCCCAAAGAAGGCAGAAATCGAGATGTGAGAAAAAGAATAGCTATTCACTCTCCAAAGCCCTAATAATTCTTTCTAGCAGATGTGAAGAGAGGATTGTTGACAATTCAATAAGCACTGCAATAACCTCTTACGGAATGATCTCGGTGTTCTCGCTATGTCGTCAATCTCAGTATACGGAAATGGTCTGACCAAGAGGCATCGATCTGGAGTGGGTCTTGCATTGCCGGATGACAGGAGCCCTTCACCTCCACTCTTCAATTATATCCATACCAGGTGAACACAGATGATCGACCTTCAGTGCCTGGTCAACCATTAAAGAAGAGAAGAGGAGCGGAACAATGAGAAGGAGTTTGTAGCCCTCCAACCAGAACTAATCAACCCGCCTCTTCAACATCTCCATTTCCCATTCCATCTCTTTCACCGGGCCCGCCCGATCCCATTCCAATGCCTAGCCCGAAAGCATGGAATCACCATCATTCTCCATATGACCCGATAGCAACACCAGGATCCCAATCCAAGTCTTTCCTCTCTCCTGGCAAAGAAAGGAGGGGAGAACCCCGGTATCTATCTACTGGTCACCAAAATGAAAGCTCCATCCCTCAAATGCTTCCCAACGAGAGAAGCTAAGGGAGCGCCGTTAAGGCCGGTTGTCCAATCAACGGAAATGGGAGTCAGTGACCTAATGGAGGTACTGAGCCCAAAGCTGGATCTAATGTCTTCTGTTCCAGGATAAAATGCTTGGGAGGCAGCCTCTGCATCTGCATTTCCATTCCCAGGGAGCTCAAAGCAATCAAGTGAATCCTTGCCATCAGGACCAATCCCTAGCGCCCAAGCAACGGCAGCTAAGAACCTTTATTCGAGACCATTAGTAGGTAGCACGTCGAGGTTCCAAGCCGAACCAAAGCAATCTATTTATCCGAACCAACTAGCGATCAAATACCAGCCAAGGATTCCACTCTCTCTCCACCTGAATCGACGGTTTAAATATCTTAGTAAGATATATCGGTTTAGCCAGCTAGCTGCATGCCGTATCGGGAAGCGCTGATTCATTCCCCCGATTGTGGAATTTCGACATGTTTGTGGTGAACGAGGAGCGGACCTACGTCTATAAGAGAATACCGGCTAGGGTATGAGCACTTTTATACTACGGAAATAACAGGCATACCAACTTGATCGTTACCGGTCATCAATTCAACCTCTCGTACGAGTAGGAGTGCTTGGTCTTCTACTTGAGCGATGGGCTAGAAGCCCGAGCGATACCTTATATATATAATTAGAATAATCTAGAATGAAAAATGGGGTATGTATGGATCCGTGATCCTAATATGAATGGAGGAAGTGCGCCTAATAGGTAGGAATGGCAGGGTTAACAGCAATGGCTGGTTAAAGAGTCTTTGATGCAAAAAAAGTGCTTCTCATCTCCTTATTTTGAATTCCATGATTCTTCATTTCCCACCCTAGCTTTATTGCGAGCCAAAAACCTTGATGGATTCCCCTTTCTTTTCAATGCAAGCTTTCTCCGTGCTTACCCGATCAGCTCATTCAGGTGTGACAGTTGCTGATAGCTTCTCTTCTGGCGCTATCACACTCATTATTCTATTCTAGTAGTAGATAGTCAAGTGGCCATTCGGCTCCTAGCCGCCTCTTTGCCCCTTTCTATACCTAAGCTCTTCACCCGCTTCGTCCGTTGCTAGTCTGACCCCTTCCTTTGATCCGAAGGGACTTCCCTTTGGTTTGGTACGCTACTCTGTTATGATTATGATAGAGTCTTCGCTTAGCGACGAGAATCACTAATCTCGGCCTTGCGGGATAGAATAGATAATCAAGGTTATTGCCCCTTCTTTCAACTCCAGTTGCTTTCGGCGCCTGTTCTATTGGCCTGTTAGGAATAAAAACCTCTTTCTTTGGCTTTGCCTCTTGTCGAGGCTCTTTCTTCTTTCTGTGACTTGGCCCGTGCGTGAAGGTCTGTGTCCGTTCTTGTCCCTTCCCGTGGTACTGGCTAATCCAGGAGATCTGGTTCTAGAACCGGGTGCGGGTTAATAACTCATCTAAGTATGACCGTTCTGTCTGGCCACCCCTTCTTCCATTCAAAAAAGTCAGGGCGTAGGAAGAAGATCATGTTCTCGCTTCCCTTATCTGTTTGGCCTGGAGGCGTATCTCTCGATGGTCGACTGAAGGCTTATTACCGATTAGCCTTTTTGCTACTAAAGATACTTATGGAACTCAGGCTGACTTGTTTGCTTTGCTCTACGCTGGGAAGACGACGGTGCGATTTCATCTGTTGGAGGCGTAACCGCAGCAGTTAGGTCTACTCTAAAGGTCGTTCTGTTCTCCTCGGATGAGAATCGGTAGCTGTTAGAATAGTGGTAGCGGTGTTACTTTCTTCTTGAAAAGACTGCTTGACTTGCTTTCCTTACTCTATCGAATAAGTAATATCTTACCTTTGCTAGAAGGTAGTGAGTGCATTGATGCAGAGAAGTTGGAATATAGTCAGTGTGCCACGAGTGACTCCTTTTGTTGTCAATTGATTTGACTCTGTCTCCTCCCAGGAAGGATAAGATAGAGATTATCTCGTCTTTGTGGTTTAGGTTTAGTAAGAGCATGGCTTCAAGAAGCGAGTGAGTCTTGGAAAGGTATTATCGAAGTCACTTCCAGATTATAATTATATTCTTTTGGGCTCATCCGTAGGGCAGCTAGAAGGCATAGGTTCCGATTCCGTATGGCTACTGAGAATGACCCTAAGACATCGGTCTAACATTCTAGCCATGTCATAAGCTAGATTCGACCGAAGGGTGAGGATATGACCGGGTTTAAGAAAGAAAAGCTCAAAGCACTCTTGGCAAGGTTATAAAAATACCCAATACATTAATGTAGTTCTATAGGGAAAATATAACTACAAGAAGTCTACTCAGTCCCGGTACTCCTTTTCGAGAAGTAAGGTAGGAGCAGCTTGTTGTTTAGTTCCAGTAATCAAGCTAGGCTCTTAGTTGGCTATTCATAGATCTGGAGTTGTCCTCTATTGCTGATTTAGCGGCCTTCTTTAAGAACTCCTTCCTACGTGGTAACAGGGGTTACGGCTAAAAACACCGGTTACTTCTATAAGACCAACAGCTCCTAATGGAAGATTTTCCTTTTCTATCAGCCCGGGTACGCGTGAACATTCGAAAGATTGGCAAGGATGAGATAGTGGAATAAGGGTCGGGAAGAAACTTCACTGCAGGGGAAAGGCTTATGTAACTCTCAAAAGGAGCGATAGACCAGATGATGATCCCTAACCTGATCTTTCGATATGAAATTTGACAATCAGGGATTGCTCCTAGTCTGGATCCCTTGGTACTTCTAGAGGAAGAAAGGAGTCCGGGTTAAAGGACGAGGGCAGATTTCTTCTTTCAGTAGCAGCTCCGGAAGAGCTGCTTCGGATTTGACTGAAGAAAAAAGGTACCAAGCAACTATTCTTATTACGATGACGTGAGTTTTGACAATTTGGATTGGGGAAATAGCGCACTTCTCGCATTGGAGGTGCCGGAGCGTCCCAAACAGTTGAAGTTGAGGAAAGGTTTAGCGGTAGCCCATGTCTTCTTTATCCCCTTTTGATAGAGGAAGAAAGTCCCTGGGAAAGAGGAGGAGTCCCGTCATTCCTTCACTCGCGCATCCATATGGAGATCAGCCTACATACAGGCTAAAGGAGAGTCTACGAGCTTGACTTTGCAAAGTTGACAGGAGAACCCGATGTGAATTTTAATCCGTTACCAAGGAAGATTGAGGATACATCGTAGGTTTCATTGCTTTTGATCTCTTTCTTTCTCTGCGGAGAATTAAAGCAAGCCATGCTTTTGAGGATCCAAATGATGGTTAGTTCGAGTTAGCTAGCTGCTCATTCCCTTCTGGGTTGAAGGCAACAAGAACACTAGGAGAGGTGTGCCTGGTAATACCTCTATCTAAGACTACGCAGGCCAGTCTTTCCTTTGCTTCGTGTGCTCCCTGTCAGAATGCGATCTCTTCTCTTTGGTAGGTATCGTATATAAGAGAAAGCTTTGCCTCATCTCCCCGAGTGGGGCTTCTCCTCTCTTTCATAAATTGTATATAATAACCTGTGGGAATAAAGTCCCGGAAACCAGGACGTACGATTGGCTTTCCCTTTCTTTAAGTTTTCAAGAGATTAGTCCCGCGAGATCGTGATCTAGTTCTTTCGTATAGCTCAAAAAGCAAAATAGTGATTTCGATCGTAAGTAAGCTGAAGGGAGTCCGCAAGACTGGTGAATCCACTAGGGAAACCCGAATTATGGCAGTTCGCGAGCTAGTACTTTAGTTATTTGTGCCCTCGAAGGACATGTTTTTATCGAATTCTAAGCTTTCTTATCAGCCCCAGGGAGTTCACCAGGTATAGGCTCAGGAAGGAAGCAACAACTGCTGCGGATCCTGGAACGAAATGATAAATTTCAATAGGCTTTTCTTTTGTACTCGAGTTCAAATCATAGGTCCGGGGTAAAGTAATGATATCCTAAGGAAGCAAAGCAAAAGTAATCCCGTCCGGAGACTATAAGGGAATTCGGGTTAGAAGAATTCTACTCAAACAAAGTCAAGGTTGTGAGCCACGACACTTCTCTTCTAATATCCCGAGTGTTAGACGGAAGGTCAAGTTGAAAGCTAAAGCTAACGCTTACCTCGGATCAAGTCAGCACCACCCGTAGGTTCAGGAGAAAGCGAAGTTATAAAGAAAAGAAAGAATCGAAGTTGTTGTAAGTTAAAAGGTCTTTTCGAACGGGGTTGTTGTTAGCCGTGGGTAGTTTGATGTACTGGTTTTGGGTGCAGGGTGGTGATGGAATCCTTCTTCTGCTCACCGGGATTTAAGGCTCCATCCGAATCAAGGAGAAGCCACAGTCTAAGAAACCAAGGTATAATGTAATTATGTACACAGAGTCAACACCTCTACCAATAAGGAATCAAGTAAAGTAATCGGTTGAACGCGGTCTAGGTAGAAAGAAGTCTTCCTATTCCTGCGTTGTGCCGGAAGTCTTTAAGACTTTCTTGATGCGGAGTAGTGAATATAATCAAGTTAAGCAGTCCAGGCGGGAGGAGTTAATCTGTAATTCCCGTAGTTCCATAGGCAGGAAGTGCATCAACGAGTTTCCGTATCTCGGCAGTAGGGACCGAACTTCAAGCAATAGGGATCAGTGTTCAAGGCTAGGATCTATGTAATATGAATAGTAAGTTGCGCACCCGTCAAGCAGTTCTCACTCCAAGCAGGACTCTTCTATGGATTAGTGGGAAGGCGCTGGATAAGAGAAGATTCGTCTATCTAAGTTGCTGACGAGCCAGTACTGTTCGTGGGCAAGCAAAGTTTCAACTCGCAATCCATTTATACAGAACGGAGAAAGGTTATGCAGGCGGGTGTTCATTTCTTTTTTTTTGTTTGGCTACAACGGGTACGCTTTCTAGAAGATTTGCTCGGGGCTGTTCACTTTAACTTGGTCGCCTGGTATCTTTGAAACCTCTTTGCTTGCGGAGGCAGGAGTGCGTATGAGAGAGCGCTTCGCGAAAGAATCGTGTGGCGCGGTTAAAGGTTTCCCGTTGGGGTTTCCGGCCCCCAGGTCTTCACCTAATTGTGGAAGAGGGGAGGTGCATTGAGTATAAACTCTCTCTCGCGCCTTTCTTCAGCTTGTTCCTGTTCGTCTATTCGGGACGGGGCAGGCAGCCCACATACATACATGAAGAGAAGAAGAGAGGAGAGGGGGTTCCCTGAGATTAAGGTGTCAAGGCGGTCGAAGAAGGCCACAAGTGGAAGCAACCGAAGCTTTGGTCATTCAGTTGACTCCGCCAGTCCGTGCTTGCTGTCATGCTGGCAAAAGCAGGGCTTTCGGCCTTACCTAGAGAAAGTGGAATACGGCAAGCACGAGAATCCAACCAGAATTGTAGAGTGACCTTCAATCCAAGGTAAGGGTGGGGTTCTAACTCTATAATTGGGTTATGATAATTGATATGTGGGATTAGAGGTGACTGTTGTCTTGTTCTGGAATTGAGAATATATGATTGATGTATGATGAGGATTGATGAATTTTGATGAATATTGATGCCTTGATGCTGTTAAAATGTTGTAAGATTATAAGGTAATTATGGGTGATTAATTGGCAGGATTATATTAAGTTATAGGGCTTTTGTTAAGGAACCGTAGCGAGATGCAATGATGGAAAATGTTGAATATAGCAGTAATGAAAACGCAGAATTATGCTAGAATGATACCAGGTGCTGTTGTGTTAGAACGATGAATTAATTAGGGGATAGCATTAGCCGTATTGTTCCTGATTAGGGTGATAACAGGAAAAGTAATTAAAATAATAACATTAAGGAAATGTAGCAGTTCTGACGTTAGAAGGATGCTGATAGAAGTTGCGTCAGATTAGTGCAAGATAGAAGTTCTGACGTTATATATATGTTAGTTTGAAATTGTGTTGCATTATTAAAGAATAGAGGTTCTGGTAGTAGAAGTGGTACTAGCCAGAAGATGTGGCTGGTCAGAAGTTGTACTAGCCAGAAGATGTGGCTGATCAGAAGTTGTATTTGGTCAGAAGATGGCATTAGTCAGAAGATGTAATGATCAGAAGTTGTCTTTGGTCAGAAGATGGCATTAGTTAGAAGATGTGAAGATAAGGAGTTGTACCTGGTCAGAAGATGGGGCTAGTCAGAAGATGCTATGATCAGAAGTTGCATCTGATCAGAGGTTGAGTTAGTCAATAGTTGCATTATTTAGAAGTTATAGTAGTCAGAAGATTGTGTCTCCCAAAGGTTGCATCATTAGAAGTTATGTATTTAGAAATAGCGTTGGTTAGAGGTTGCATGGTCAGAAGTTGGATGGCCTTTGTGTTGTTTTGTGCAGAGCGATGAACGTTAGATGCTTAGAAGCTGTTGTTGAGCTATAACAATAGGATAGTGTCGGTCTTAACGTTAGAGTTGCAGAATGACAGTGTTGATTTACTGTGGGAATTAAATACTACTGAGTTATTAATGAGAAGTTATTAATAAATAAATGATGTTTGATGATTTATAAATAAATGAATTTTGAGGAATTATTTTGATTATTTGAGATGTTATTTGAGATGTTATTTTGAGATGTTATTTTGAGATGATAATTTGAGATGTTTTGAGATGATAATTTGAGATGTTTTGAGATGATTTGAGACGTTGTTAACTTGGGTGTTATCATTACATTCATGGTTGTGTAGCATACATTGCATTTTTGAGATGGAGCTTATGCTCGTTGAGATGGCCTGGATTGGCAAATTTTGAGATGAAGGCTATGCCTTGTTGATGCCTCTATTAATTGGCAAATTTTTGAGATGGGAGTTCTGCTCCAATGGTACCACATGCATTTGCATAGTATTGAGTCGCATTATATGATTTCATAAAGAAGTGTATTTTAATGTGGATGAATGTATATTATTGTTGAGATTGTTGTTGATTATGAGATGAGAAGTGGTGACGTTGTTGATTTAATTTAATATATTAATTATCATGCACTTTATTATATTATTAGATATCTCACCCCTTCTGTTTGAATGTTACCCCTATGTTGGTAACGTGCAGGTAATCGAGAGTGAAGGTTGTA